GCAGCCATCAGACCCGGGAATGCAGTTGCATAATGAAATGTGGTTTATTCGCAGTATGGAGAGTCTTCATCTTGAAGTAAATTGTTTATATATTTCAGAAGCTGAGCATCTATGGAGATTTGGAATACATGAATGAACAAAAACTGAACAGATACCCATCCTCTGCCCTTGTTGTGGTCAGATGCAAGACTGAGGAACATGAAGAAGCAGGACCTCTTCCTACAAAAGTCAATCTGGCTCAATCAGCCATTTAAATAAGTCTCCATTGGATCCAATAGACTAATTCTCACAGAGCTAGCAACTCCTGATTGTTTGTGGTGGTTCTTCAGACAAGAAGCTTAGCAGCCAGTCTCTAAATGCAAATAAAGTTACAGAATCAACAATGTCATGGGATTTCGTTTTCAACTGGTAGTGAAGATTCAGACATCTTGAATTTATGTTTGCTTCCAGACGTAATCACTTTTCACTGGTGTTTGCTACATGTCTTTTTGCTTACAAAAGCTGTAAGCATGCTTTCCATACTTCTGCCATGACACTTTCAAACTTATTCATGTGTTCTAGGATGTAATGTGTACATTCAGAGTTAGCTTTGTAAAGGTATAAGAAATTTTAAGTAGGCAGCAGATGCCTTTTTAGTGTTGCACTTTCTGTTGTAGTTAAGAGAAAATATTATAAAAGTATCTGCTGAATTTTTGTACTTGTTAATGTCCATGCACAAACAACCCTGTCTCCAAAAATAAAAATATATTTTTTCTACAGTGTGGCAATATCCAAGGTGGAAAGCATTTGTGAGGTACTGTAGGCTAGAACTGTTTGTGAAAGATGGAAACGCTGTTAAAACTTATGGACATATCCCTTCACACACAGAACATAATATGATCAATTATTTTGTCAGACTTCAGCCTTTAAGTCTTAAATTGCTTGTAAAGTTAGCACCTGTGTTTTCTGAGGAAGTTCTACTTTCTGTTCTTGATTAACTATTCTAGTCTTGTAACTTCATTTACAGAAACAAGTTGATTCCTGAGAAATGAGAACAGACAAATAAAATTGACTGTATAGAAAATGTTGACTATATAGTTTTTTGCTGTGGTTAATTACTGACCACAACATATTCAGTATGAAAACCTGTCTGTGGCGTTCCTCTCATAGGCAGTGTGACCTGATTTTGCTCTGTGATTCACTAACGCAGCAGCAACTAGCAATGTCACTCATATTTCTAATATATTTTTTGCGGTTCTTTTCTTTGAGGAGATTACTATATGCTGTTTCCCGTAGCATTGGCAAGTGGGGGGGGTGGGGGTGGTGTGTGATTTATTTTAAGGTCTCTGTAAGTGGTTGAAAGCTGGCTAGAATGCACGATCTCCACCTCATCGTCATATTTTGTTGATTATACAAAACTGCCTTGAAGATTTAAGAAAAAAAAACAAAACACAAAAACAAACAAAACACCTGTTCAGGTTTTGTATTCTGGAGGATACAGTGATGTGCTCCCTCACTGTTAAAACTGGGTCAATAGTCATTCCTAATTTCTCTGTAACGCTGAAGGTTGGGTGACTACAGGTGATGGAGCCTTGCGGGGCCCATTAATCAGGAATGTGCATTATGTGGCCCGCGCAGTGCTGCGGAGAGCCTTAGCCTAGAAGCACTCGAGCAGTTTTTCCGTCAATGAATTTGAAGAGCATTAAGCAAGGTTTGTTTTAAGCAGGCTTGTAGCAATGTGCAGAAATTGCAATGTGAAGTCTTAAATTAGTGGTACCTCTTCGTGCTAAATTCTTCAGTGGGACTACATGGTAGCCCAGAAATTTGGATGCCGGTGGCCATTGATGGGTACCTCTGTGTGTAGGCGGTATTAGTGCAAAGGTCTCAATGACTGCGACTATGGTGAAAATCGATGGCGTGATGTTTTTGGAACACCATTTGCTAGCAGGGACAGGAAATCCCTCTGTCTGCAGCAGTGATTCAGTTGAGACGTGCATTTCTGCTCACGTAGCGCAAACCTCGGTATACAGCCCTGTTTCGGTGCAGGGTGCCAGTGTTCCGCTTTGAGCAGTACCAAATGCGATGTGTGCAACGGCTGTTCAGAAATTACTTTGTAAATACAGGCTCTGCGTCAGTGATGATTGCCTGTCGTCTTAGCACTATGTTGTTTGGGATTGCCTTTCCAGAAGAGACTTTAGCAGTCCCAGTTTTTCTGAGTAACTACCATGGAAATGTTTTTAAGTCTGTTAAAGTGTTTTCCTTTGCTGTTACATGTAGTTGCAGAGGGAGTGTTAGAGCTTCACGAAAACCTGGCTATTTGCCTGTTTCAAATGTGTACAGTGCAGCTTCTGTTATGTTGATGACTTGATTTCACAAAACTTTCTCTTCCAAAACGTTTTGACGTTATTGCTTACGTTCCTAGGTTTGAGTTACACAGCTTCTGCTTTCATTTGGCTCTGTATCTGCCTACAACAAAGGGAGAAAAACTCAACAGAAGTTTTACGTGTTTTGTCTTTTGTTTGCTGTTTAATGACATTCCAGCTAAGTAATCTGTGCGGTGAAGCCAGCGATTCCGTAACGTGCTGTTAGGTCACAGGATACGCTGTGCCTGCGGCAATCTGTCACTTGGCACTACTGTTTCCAGAGCGAGCCAGAGTCTGAAGGATTTGGTAACTGTTGTACTTGTAAGCTCTTCTCAAAGTATCTTCCCTCAGTAAAATCAGATACTAGCTAGGCTGCAGTAATTAAACTGTTTCTCAAGATTTCTAATGTAAATGGAGTATTTAGGCCGTCTTGGTTGCAAAATGGCTCGTCTTACTAATTTTTTTTTAACTGTTTGACTTCCTGACATCTTCATTTTCAGTGGCTGCAACTTGGGTTTGATCTCTGCCCAAGACCACCATTTAAATGAAGGGCCTTAAATTATTGAAACTGCAGGAAGAAAGCATTTTATATTCTCTTTAGGCACGTGTTCACCTGAACTTGTATCGGATTTTAAATGGAGTCACCTCGACACAAATGAGGTAACCCTCTTAAGTGTGTGCAATTCACCGCTGGCAGAAATAACCATGGTATGTTTGGGAGGGGGTTGGCGGGTTTTTTAGGTGCTAGAATTAACAATAGTCTCCTGTCATACTGGATATCTTAATCTCTGTTTCCTCTGCAGCTTCTCTGATCTTTGGCAAAGATTTTATCTTTTTTTTTTTCTTTTTTTTTCCTTATTTTACTTCAGCAGGGCTTGCTGGTGTTTGTTACCTCATTCTCATGGACTCATTTTTCTGAACTAGTGGTTTTTGATGTGGAGTAACTGTTCTAAAACCCAACTGCCTGGTTGGCTACGGCTGAGCTTTGGTAATGTTGGCAGAGGAAACAGATGGTGGTAGATGTCAGGTCTTATGGACATTTGCCTCTAAGAGCGGGTTTACTCCACATCTTAAACATTTCTGTCGTGGATTGTTTCGTGGGGTATGGACAGGTAGCCTGCTTGACCTGGCTATGGGCCTCTTAGCAAACGGGCCTCTTAGCAAACTCACAGTCACCTAATGAGCTTTTTGAAGGCTCAAAATAGTCCTTCTGTATCAAGTCCAGTTAGAAACTTCATCGAGAAACAGATCCCAAATTTAAGATATGCATATCTTAACCCTTAGTCTGTGACTCTTCCTATTGCAGCAGGTGCCCACACTTGCAGGCTCTTTGCTACTTGGGGTTTGGTGTTTTCACCCCAAATTCCCCTCAGAACAGGAGAACTTTCTAACACCAAGTTTACCAGTGATGTATTCCTGTGAGAAGCTCCTGCTTTGGACAAATTGGTGTTGCCATGCCGAAGGAGGAGCTCCTAGAGACTGTTTTTAATTGTGACTGGTCTGTGAACAGGCGAGCTCAGGGTTGGCAGATGCTCTTATCAAGAAGCGTATATTAACTCAATGTTGACGGAACCAAGAATGAGATGTATGTGTGGGGATGGAGAGAGAAGCAGCCATAATTATTCTTCCATGTCAGGCATTATTTGGTGCTTTGAATTGAGTTGAAGCAACTGTCTGGGGGCCAACTTACAGGCACTATAGCTGCCAGCTTCTCCTCCGAAGCCCTGGTAAGCTAGTTTCACCAGTGCTTGGGGAGGAATCATGATCTGTGAGGTGGCAACGATTTGGAAGCACCTGAGCGCTATAGACTCTCCTGCAAGCAAGAAGAACATGGGTTCCTCGAAGACTTTATGCCAGTGCTTTTTCTTGCCCCTACCCCCGCAGCAAAGCTGCCCACTCATAACATCTTAACCTTGAAGCTGCAAAACTCCACTCTGCGTGTGCTGTGCTGAGACCTGCAGCCAGTTTAGGAGGCTGCAATCTATTTGTAAGTACACGTTAGTTACAGGATGGACCGCAAAGACTTACTGCAGGCACGGAAAGTCAAGTACACAAGTAAGAGAGCACCCTGGAGGTGGAGGATTTGCTATGCCTGTGCTCGTTGCCCAAGCCGGGAAGCTATTCCAGATGGTTGTATCCTGCACAGCTCTGCTGAGATCTCATCATCTCACAGGAGCCTGGGCTGATGCCCCTACGAGGTCAGTGTGACAGCGCTGTCTTGGGAAGGAAGTGGGGAGAAAGGAGACTTGTGTGAAGATGATCAGACTGCCCTCAAGCATTCATCATGAAGGGGGGTTCTTCCTGACTGGCACCAGCGTAAATGCACTCAGCATCAGCTGGAGGTGAGCGTCCATCTTCTGAATGGGCTTCTCTGCATCCAAAATCTCCATATCCTTTATGATTTTCCTAATGTTGTGAAACCAAGATGGAGCCAGGAGGAAGGAGAAGCAAACCAGAAACGCCACTTCCAACGGGAGCTGGAGCCACGGGCTCGGCACTGCCTTCCCCATCCTCTCCTGCTTGCGTGCCCAGGCAGCAGCACGCTCCTTGCCCTCCTGCCTCTGTTGGGTTTTGTATCCTGGTAACATCACTCCTGTTAGGTGCAGAAAACTCCCGGCAGTCCTTTGAGCTTCTGTGAGGGCTGTAGCTCTGGGAAGCATGAACAAAACTCACCCCCAGGTACAGTCCTTCTCTTCGGAAAAATCTTATGTGTGGCTGTTTCCTAAAGTACGCATGTTCTCGATAGCGTTGTTTGTCTGACCTCTTTATCGCTGGTTTCTGTGAGATTTCGAGTCGTTTCTACTTAATCTAATTTGACACAAAAGGAAAGTATAGCTATGAAGGGCTGTGCTTGCATTAGTGTTTGTTTTACAAATGGGTAACTAAGATTTAAAAGGTGATCTGATTGATCGCTTTGTGAATTAAATCTGGGCCACGTTTCCACCGAGGCAATTTTTGCTTGTATGTAAAAATAAAGGAATACATTATATATGCCTGAGTAAGATGGCACAAGAACTAGAAAGGCATACCTTGCGTGGTTACTGCGTGCTGCTTCTGTAAACAGCCTTTTATTCCTTTCCTTCTAGAGAAACGGTGTTGTTGCTGCTTTTGATTCAGCAAAGTCCTTCTCTGAAGAAAGAGGTAACGAATAAAATGCAGAGCTTAACATTTTTATTATTAAAGTATAAATCAATTGAAACTATCTATGCAATGTAAAATACAACCAGTATTTATGGTCTGTTGAGACTGATTTTATTTTTTTTCCCTTTCTGTGTAGTGAAACATCTAGACTATAAAGTTAATAAACTTAAGCTGTTCTGTGTTGGCCTGGAGTTGGCAGTCTTATGGTAGAGTAGCATGATAGATAATCCTTGTCTGTCACAGCAAAGCTCATCATGAACTTGCTATAGGCTTTCTATATGTTTTTAATAGCCAAACTTCACAAATTGTGAACAAGGTGAGATCAAACAGAATCCATAGCAAACCCGTAGATCGGGTTGCAACATTTCATCACTGCTATTAATTTATACTTACGTCTGTTTGCAGCTGTTGAGTTTCTGGTCAAAGGTGTTGTCTTGTAGACACGGACACGCTGTAATTCACCACTTTTCTTTTAAGCTGGATTGTTTGGCGTTTGATTCCCGCTCAAGCATGATGGAGGGGGTGGTTACTGCTGCCAGGTTCCCTTTGCCGTTGAGCAAAGGCTGTGCCTTCGCTTGCATTTGTACAACACAACAACTAAGTAAACATGCAGCACAGCTATGACAAGTTCTAACTTTTCAACCAAAGCTCTTTAAGTTCAGAAGCACCAAAATCCAATTATATGTGCAGGGTTGTCTGAAGTGACTGGTTATGTGTTTCTCAGATTATTCCATTAATCTTTTTTTCCTCTTGGTCTGGAAATACAAAGGAAAATACTCTGTTTGTTTAGAGACAAAGCGCTGGTGCTGCAGAGAGCTGAGCTGATCAGCGTTGCTCTTACGTGTGCGGCCCTTGTGCTGCAATGACTGCAGGTTTGGCATTTAGCTTCCGGATTTGGTTTGATTTAGGTACGTGACTTTCTGACAGTTGGAGTCTCTGGAAAGTCTCTGCCCTCTGTACTCTGGAGATGTCTTTGTGGAGGGAAAGGGCTGCTCTTCAGCCAGCTCTCACTATTTTGAGCTGATAATTCTACCTTGTTCTGTGGGAACATTAAAATCCTGCTTGAGACAGAAAGCCCAAAACACTATAAAGTGAAATTTTTACCTCTTGCGGAGTTGTGCCGTGGGCTCTGGGAGGGCACCTTTCCCACACTTGTGTTTCAGCTGCTCCCACCATGTAAAGGGCATTGCTGTCCCATGAGGTTGGGCCTCTTCCACCCTTCTGCATCCAAGTGTGTTGGGTGAGCTCCGATGGCGATGCATCCTTTGTGCTGTTCGGTCCCAGTGCTCTGTAGCAGCATCACGGGCTCTTCCACATTGCAAGCGGCGAAATTCCCTACAAGGAGGTGTTTAACATCATCATTTGGCTATTAAAACTCAACTATCAACCCACAAACCCCAGCAGCCCCCTACCAGTCCTGCACGTAGAAACCCCAAAACATCACCCTCGTGGCTTTGTGCCGTTCCCCTCTGGAACACCCCCACCCTTCCCCAGCCCCTCACCTCTCACTCTTGCCTCCTGACAGACTGCTGCCATCCCCGCAGCTGCACGCGGAGATGCATCTGCATCTCTGCCATGGCACTGCTTGTCCTCATGGTCACCGTGGGCTTGGCAGTGGCACTGGGACTCCTGCTACATGTGCCAGGTTGGTGTCCTGGGGGCAATTAGTTTTTCGGTAAGGGAGGCAGAAAATGGCGTTGCATGAGAAGAGTCTTTACATCCACCACCGTGCTTGATGTGGTGCTTCCCGGCACAGACCAAGAGGAAGGAAAGGGACCACCAGCCATTCCTTGGTGCCGGTGTCCAGCTCCATGGGGCTGTGGTACCTCTGGCTGGTACAGACATGCTTCAGATTACTGGTATCATCTTCAGCACCTGGGTCACAACAACCCCATGCAGTGCTACAGGCTTGGGGAGGAGTGGCTGAAAAGCTGCCCAGTGGAAATGGACCTGGGGGTGCGAGTTGACAGCCAGCTGAATATGAGCCAGCAGTGTGCCTGGGTGGCCAAGAAGGCCAACAGCATCCTGGCCTGTATCAGAAATAGTGTGGCCAGCAGGACTAGGGCAGTGATTGCCCCCTGTACTCAGCACTGGCGAATACTTGAGGTGAATACACCTTGAATACAGTGTCCAGTGTTGGGTCCCTCACTACAAGAAAGACATTGAGGTGTTGGAGCGTGTGCAGAGATGGGCAACGAAGCTGGTGAGGGGTCTGGAGCACAAGTCTTATGAGGAGCAGCTGAGGGAACTGGGGTTGCTTAGCCTGGAGAAAAGGAGGCTGAGGGGAGACCTTATAGATACCTGGAAGGAGATTGTAGCAAGGTGGGGGTTGGTCTTTTCTAGCTAGTAACAAGTGATAGGACAAGAGGAAACAGCCTCAAGTTGCACCAGGGGAGGTTTAGATTGGATATCAGGAAAAATTTCTTTATCGAAAGGGTTATCAAACATTGGAACAGGCTGCCCAGGAAAGCGGTGGAGTCACAGTCCCTGGAGACAGGTAGATGTGGTGCTAAGAGACAGGTAGATGTGGTGCTAAGAGAGATGGTTTAGTGGTAACTTGGCAGTGCTGGGTTAACAGTTGGACTCGATGATCTTAAAGGTCTTTTCCAACCTAAATGATTCTATGATTGTATGACTGCCATGAACCTACCAGAGATTAATCCTGGCCCCTGGTTATTTCCAGAACAACGATGAATTTCAGAAATCCCCTTTTCTTCTCTTTGATCTGTTCTTCATACCATGAAAATATTGGACAATAAAGTATTTCTGGCTTTTCCTCCAGTGAACCGCTTCTGTGCAGCCTCCAATAACCGCACAGGCTTCTTGTGTGACGATAGAGTGACCTGCGTCCCAGCCAGCCAGGTCTGTGACAGACTCAGCAACTGCAGGAATGGAGAGGATGAGCAGGAGGAACTCTGCGGTGAGTGGTGTGACCATTGTCCCTGCACTGGTCTTCCTCTTGTGAGACAGAGCAGCTGGTGTCCCTCTCATCCTCCTCCGCACTTCTGACTGCATACGTGAGCAGATAAGCCCGGTAGATCCTTTGTAGGGCAGATGCTGAGAGGTGGTGTGGCCCAAAACCCAGCAGGAGTGCCAGGAATCAAAGACTCGAAGCTCCTCTGATCTTCCTAGGTTTTTTTTTAAACCACGATGCAGTTTTCCTCCGTTGGTTAAGCTGTATGCCTACACGGTTGATTTATTGTCCAGTTACCCTGAAAAAAACCTCACTAAAGCAGAAGCCTGTGGCACCCGGACTCTGCTTCCGGCTCAGCCACGAGCATCCCTTTCCCTCTCCAAACGCAGCTTCCCCATCTGTGGCGGCGTTCATACCCTGACACCGCATGGGGAAGGATCAACCCACCTCCCATGACAGCAGTCTTTGGTAGCTGCCATCCCCATTTTAGCTGGTGCATCTGTGCCCAGTGGAGTTAAGCACGTGTGTGTCCACCCTTGCAGGTGATGTGCCCAACAGCCTTCCAGGACACCTGGTTTTCCGCTGCAGTAACCCCACGTTCTGGGTCTATGCCGATCAGAGGTGTAACGGGATGAACGACTGCGGAGACTGCTCTGACGAGATGGGGAGCTGTAAGTCTCTCTTCTGGCTACCATTGGGCAAAATGTCTTTTCTGCTGAAGAAAAGGATTGAAATAGGTTGTACAGGTGTGGTGCTTGCTGATGCTGCTGGAAACGCCGGGAGGCTGGCATCCACCACTAAAACACAAAATAGCTGGCATAGGACGTAAGTATGAACTGTATGGGCTCCCTCCCATCAGCTGCCAAGGGCTCTGTGCCAAAGCCTGGTGGCAACCACAAGGGGAAAGGCTCCATGCTTTGCTCCCAGCCCCAAAAGTTGTTCCTCCTCTGCGGTTTGCTGAGTGGGGAGCAGTTTCGTTGGGATGTGTAGCTGTAGGCAGCAGCAATCATTCAAATGGGCCTTTGTTTGTTGGTCGGGAGATGGGGACATCTCTGAGCCAGGGGGACTGAATGTGCCTCAGCAGCTTCAAAGCCATCTAGATCCTTCTCTCACCAAAATGAGCAGCAGGTTTGTCCCTAAGCCACCCCTCTGGTTTTGAACCTCAGGTGAGACCTGCCTCTATCAGTAGCTTTCTCTAGAGTAGCTTATTTATTAAATAAATAAATAAATTATGGCTAGTTGTTCGTCCCAGCATGGCATATCTGCTATGAAGGTCATAGCAATGTCATGCTCCGTGGTTGTCTCCCACGAGGAGCATCAAGCAAGTGTCCTCTTTGGTGGGTTTGCAGGTACAGGGTCATCACCAGTGGCTTTGCAGTAGCTGCCAGGGGTGAAAGGGTAGCTACCCAACGTGAGAAAGGAGGGAAGGGATCAGTGCAGCAGAAGCATTTCTGTTCTCTGTTTTCCATCCCTCCCAGCGGCCGCCTGCCCCCCGTGTGGGTCGGAGTGGTGGAGCTGCAGCCCTGTGCTCTACGAGTACTGCTCCTGCATCCCCAGGAGGCTGTGCCGGGACCGCGTCCAGCACTGCCACAGCTGGTCCGATGAGTATATCTGCAGACTGTGAAGTTTTGGCATGCAGCAGCATTGAAAGCTGCAGGGTGCTTCCTGCATTGTCGTCTTTAAGCTGTGGTGTCCTCCTGCTCTGCCACTCACTTGGGAAACTCCAACCCAAGCAAGACCTCACCAGTGGTGCTCTGACTGGCACGCGGTGACACTGAACAGGGATGAAGTGCTGCACTTCTAGCCTATGGCAACCCATGCTGTAGGCTAGATACAGGCCGTGGGACACCTTCACAGGTTCTCCTGTTGCATAAGGGCGAATCCTTTCTACCTGGGCAGATGACTGTCTTGCAGCATTGACTTGGAAGCTCTATGGGTTGTGTGCAGGCTGCTGGAGACCACCAGTCACTGGCAACACAGACACTGTGACTGGCCAACCCTGGGTGAGGGGCTTCTCCGGTATGGACATGCTGGTGCCTCTGCAGGCAGCCAGATGAAGGTACATTGAGGACTACCCTAAAAAGCAGGAACTAAGGTGAGCCTTTCCAGCCCTTGGGTTGGCATTTCCTTCCAACACATCTTCACACTCCTGATCCTCACGGGCAGGAGGAGAAGCCTGTGTTTGTGTTCATAGCATGTCTGCAGATGGTTTCAGCAGTGGCTTTGAAGGCTCTGCGTTGATGCTCCCAGGATGCTTCCCACACTTCCTCGGGAACACTGTGCTGAGGGTGACATGGTGGGGAGCTGCTGCACAGGCTACCTCCCATGCTTTTCTCAAACCATGAAGGCCAATGCGGAGAGGGTAATGGCAAGGAAGACTGAAGCGGGTGTTTCAGGCTTTGTGGGGACAAACCACTGTGTCCCTGTGACCATGTAGCTGTCCCTGCAGGGCAGGGAACTGGCGTGTATATAAAATGTACTTCTTTCAGGCCTGTGCAGTTCTGGAGCAGCAGGCTGAGGACAGCTGTGGGCCTGGCGTGAGTTTGCACTGAAGATGGCAAAGAGAGGAGGGGGAAAAAAGTTGCAGCCTCGGAGCAGAGTGCAGCAGAAACCCAAGTGCCGCTCCCAGGGCGGTGTGGGATGACACAGGGTCTGTGCACTGCTCGTTTCATTCCTCTGCCAGCAGAGCAGGATCGGGCAGCCAAACCTTGAAAGCAGTCCTCAAGATACCGGTACAGATGTGCCACTGGAATTCAAGAAAGATGGGGTCTTTCTCTGCTCCTTTGAAAAGCTCATCTGTGTCTAAAACATCATCTCTGAGAAATACCCACATTTACAGTGAGTGCCGTTACTTTTCTAGGCCCAAAATAAACATCAGGCAATATTCTTCCCACCACCATCCCAGGTCATATATCTTTAAAAATAAAACCTTGTTCAATCATTTCCTCTCTGTCCTGTGATCTGCAACTCTGCACGTCACCATGACTTGTATCAACAGTGAACGTTTCTCCTAATTTGTACCTGAGATACAGCTGTAGGTCTGAGAGATCTTTTAAAAATAGCTTTACCGTATTCTGACTCATATTTCACCTGGGATGAGATGGCAAAACTCTGCATAACGGAACCGGTACTATGGGAAAATTTTAAAGCTGTGTTTAATAACCTGTACTTCTCCATGCCTGGCTGGGACAGACGGCTTGCTTTCTCCATTCCCGTAAAACACTGCTGCAGTGCATTCAGTGCTGCAGCTCAGAAAAGAGGTTAGAGTTTTCTAGGTAAACATTTCTCACTTGGAAGCTTCCAGCCTCCATCAGAGCCTGAAATCAAGATGCATGTTTTTACTGGAGAGTCACAGACATCTAAGGCTTCAACAAGGCTGAGCCGGGGTTGGTAAATACAGCCTGGCTTGTTGTAGTTGCTGTTGTTCCTCTTGTTACCCCAAAGCGTGTTCTGGGGCAATCAATGAGGCTGTCTTACAGCATTTCTTAAGAGGAGCTCAAGGAGGGGTGATTCAGAGGCAGTGCTGCCAGGTCAGCCTCCCCTTCCTGGGGAAGAAGAGCTTATTTCTGATTCACATTGGATTCAGGCAGGGACTGTGACTGTTCCTCGGCTTTGAAGTGGGAGGATGTGCAGCAAGCTCTCTGCACAGGGAGAGGGCAGGTGGGCTACCACTGCTGCACGCTCCTATGGGGCAGTGGTCAAAGAAATTGGGAGAGGAGGGGAAGAAGAATCTCTTCCCTCATGATGGGAACTATATATGGCTAACAGAACAACTGCAGCTGGAAAGGATTGAACCAATAAGCTGTTAAAAAAAAATATAGAAACCGTCATGCTCCGCATAGGGCCCAGTCAATATAATCGGTAAAAAAAAATATTTGCTCTGTGTTGAAGATATTGGGACAGCCATGACTTTCTGGAGCCTCCGATGTTTGCTATGGTTGGGAAGAGGATGCTGGTTAGGCTGACCTGTATGGCAGCTGCTCTGATCTCCCAGTGCAATATTTGTTGATCATTGCCACAGTTCACCTCTGCCAAGATTTAAGATGCTCCCAAGGGTGAAGAGGAAAGGGTCTGGGCATGCAATGTGTGAGTGTGCGGAGTTGGATGTTTGTGCTTGCTGTGTAGTAAGGCTGCTTCTCCACCGCAGCAGAGGTCAAGTGGTGGCTTGTCTTGGCTGGATGGGGACAACGTTGGGATCTGAGAATTCTTACTTTATTGTGAGATGTGATAAAGAAGGCAAATGCTTAAGGCAGAACAGAGGCAGGCTTAGCGGGCATGGAGAAGATCCCTGGCTTGAAAGAGGAAACCACGCTCATCTCTCCTAAGAAGCTTTGTAGTTGAGCTGAACCACAAAGAAATGAGGTCAGGAATGTGATCTCTGCATCTAAGATAGCCAGGAAAGGTTTACTGGTGTTGGAGGATACCTGCAGGGTAGAGCCCTAGGGTTGCTCTCCAGCTGATGTCCCTGGGATGCCCGAGCTGTGATTAATGGCCCCAGGTTAGGAGAGAGGAACCGGGGACTCATCCTGCTCTGGATTTACACCTGTGAAGAGACAAGCCAAAAGAGACACGGGAAGCAGCAGCCCACAGGCAGCAAGACTCAGAAACCGGCCTGGAAACAGCCAGGGATACAGTGGGCAGTTGAAGCAGGTGCTTGGCTGATCCTCTCTATTTCAGGGTGAGTCTCCTCCTGTAATTTTCTTTCTTAGTGCCTTGTTCCTGGTCAGCAGAGGCTGTGCGCCTTACGGAGAGCAATAAACAGAGATGAGTGGGTTGAGGACATAGCAGAAAGTGAGCCTGAGTCTTCCTAGGATAAAATTTGCACAGTGTTGTGTTTAAAAGAGGAAGCCTGCTGTGGTCAGCAAGAAACCTATGGAAAGGAATAATTGTACCAGGGATGGAGAGAGTAAGAAACACGGTGCTCTAAAACACCCCTTTTTAAAAGGAAAGCTGTACTGTAGTATCTTACCAATGAGCCTGTGACCTGGGCAGACCATTCATGTCAAATCAAGATGTGCCTATTTTCCGGCTCAAAACATCTGCTCTCAGCTGCTTTACTGATGTGAAACAGAGTACACAATTCTCTGGGACGCACATCTCTCCATTCTCAGATTAGCAGATCTCCGCAGTGGTGGAAGGGGTAGCAAAAGAAACCCATGGTGGCTGTTGGACCAGAATCCAGCTGCAGGAGGAGGATTATACTTGAGCGCCACAGTCGTCTTCCTCCCTGTTGAGATGCTGTTTTGCTAAGTCACTATTTGTGCCGCTGTTTGTGTCAGAGGAGGGCTGATGTAGTCGTCAGTGGCAGCTATTAATAGTCTTGAGTTTCTGGGAAAAAATGTAGGGCTTGAATGCAAGTATTCTTGTTTTGTTTGTGTGTAGTCCTTTTTTTTGAGGAAAATTTGGCACGAAAAGAACAAAAAGAGAAAGGGGTTTAGCTCGTTATGCATTTTTGAGGTCAAGTTTCTTTTCTTGGCCTCTTCATGATTTCTAAGGATGCGTTGCTTTTCTTGTCGCTGAATTATGCTAAACAACAGTATAAAAGGAAGACATCCTCTAAATAAGCACTAGTAGAGGAAACCTGTAGTAAATTCTTGGCCTTATAGACCGAAGAGCACAATGACAGTCGCAGTGCCCAGCTCACGGGCACTGTGTACCTCAGCCAGTTTTGACAGAAACGCTCAGGGCAGGAATTCAACGATAAACGGGCCTGCAGCATTAAAGCTGTACGGGCTTCAGACAGACCAACACACAGGGAGTCTGAGCATGTCGGTTTTTTACAGCAAATATGTACAATTCTGTAACCACTACCCTGAATGCTTCTAGATGGGGAAGTATATTGCAGGCATGCATGCGCACCAAGAAAGGGTTTTAAACCACAGAATGTTGTCAAATGCAGTGAATTTGCTTATAAGGCAGAACATACTACAACTGCAGAGTCTAATCTCTACAGTTACCCAATTTCAGCTTTCATTTCCTGGGCTAAAACAAGTGTGAGAGGGGATTTCTGTTCTACTTCAGATTTCTGCAATAACTGTTACGGAGGGGTTACTGTCTCTCTGCCTCCCTCCCCCGGGGCCTGCGCTTATCCTCTTTGCTTCCTCCCTTTGTCAGAGCTCTGTCAGCACAGCCTGGTGCTTACAGGCAGAGGTTTATGTTCTACCACCACTATAAACGTCCCAGGGCACTTGACAAGCACAGTGCAGCTTCGTTTCAGATGAGCTGCAGTGATTAGTCTTTCTGCTCTGCCTCTCAGGAAGCGACAAGAGGAGAAGGGACAGGACCAGCTATTTCTCTGAACCATATCTATGTCAGAAGAATTAGTTAAGGATGACAACAAAAACTTTATTTGAAAAAATTATTATATATTGAAAATATACAGTAGTATCATCAACCGCCTCCTTGACTCTCTCCCTCCCCGAGCATAAGTTAACCCACAAGCACATCCCAGCAACCAGCTTTAACAATACTGGTCTCCTCTGTTACTCCCTCTTGGTATGTCTAAATTCTGTCATCAGCAAGAAAACAACAAACAAAAGACCCACTTCTTTCTGACTCAGTAGGTATTTAACAAATCCCAGTCCTCCACAGTGAGGCACAGATGCTTCTGTTTGGAAGTCCTTT